TGTGGAGGTTGTGTGCATGTATGTGGAGGTTGTGTGCATGTGTGTGGAGGTTGTGTGCATGTATGGAGGTTGTGTGCATGTATGTAGGAGGTTGTGTGCATGTATGTGGAGGTTGTGTGCATGTATGGAGGTTGTGTGCATGTATGTGGAGGTTGTGTGCATGTATGTAGGAGGTTGTGTGCATGTATGTGGAGGTTGTGTGCATGTATGGAGGTTGTGTGCATGTATGGAGGAGGTTGTGTGCATGTATGTGGAGGTTGTGTGCATGTATGTAGGAGGGCCACCCGCCACCGCCGCTGACTCACAGCTGCTGCAGATGGCCCGGCCGTCTGCTCCGCTAATGAAGATCTGGATCTCTGGTGCTGTGGCTGAAGCTGAAGGCGGCTCAGCAGCACCAGCAGCAGCGACTTCACACTCCTCAGGTCACGTTAATATTAATTAAGAGCCACCGTTGTCTCCGTTTAGGCTGAGTCAGGTCAACAACTGGTTAAAACATATTTGCTGTTTTAAATTCTTAATATACTTACAAACAACCACAAAAATCTGCAGAAATAGTTTTATTTTGGTGGTTTAAATACAGATTTATAAAAATACAGATTTTACTTTTATTATGCCTGTTTTTAATCTTAAATAGACTTAATTTTATCTTCAAATAACCACAAATATCTGTAAAAATAATAATTTTTCTGCTGATATAAATACAGTTTTAATATTAATGTCATTATTTCTTTCAAACATGAACGCTGTCATATGAGAAATTAATATTTTTGTTGTTTTTTAACAGTTAAAATGTAAATTAATACGTTTATCAGTGATTTTATTTGTCATATGTTATTTAACTAAACAGAGAAAATCTGTAAAAAACAAATTATTCCCATTTTTAATTCTTAATATACTTTAAAATAACCATAAATATCAGAAAATTAGGTTATTTTTGGTGGTTTAAAAACAGTAAAAACAGATTAATTTTAAGGCCTAATGTGTTTATGAATTGTAAACACTGCACAGGTTTGGTGTGGACAGTATTTACAGTTTTATCCTGATTTCTTTTACATTCTTTCTGTGATTTTATTGATATTATGGGTTTTGTTTACGTCCGTGTTTACGCCCTCTAAAGTTCCTGCAGTCGTTTCTATGGAGACGTGAAAAGTCTCACGAGCGCCAGGACGTCAGATTCATGATCAATAATCGATGTGATTGACCTGCAGACCTCCTGTCGGGATCATCACAGTGAGCGTTTCTCCAACAGGAAGTCGCTCAGACAGCCGGTGGTCGCCTCAGACCGAAGCTCTGTGGAGGTTCACGCCGTCTCAGTGGGTTCTTTAGTGGACCAGAACAGACGCCGTTTGGACACCGTGTTCGTTCCTCTGCTGCGTCTCACGTTCAAAATGTTCTCCTGCAGCAGATGTCGGCGCCTCGATGTCTCACACGTCCGATGACGCACTCGATCATCTGGAACAGCTCAAGTGCTGCTGGTGGGAAGGATCTCCTCCAGACGTCCAGATCAAACGTCTTTTTGTCGTTGTTTGGGAGGAACGTAACTGTTGAATGTTTAATCGTAGTTCGTTGCACCCCGAGAACGCGCTGAGTCGTTCTTTAAAACATGCGTGGGCTAGCTGTTAGCATTCCTCCTCGACTCACCGCCATGTTTAAATCCAGCAGAGCAGCACCAATCATCACCAGCGTCTTAAAAAGGCAACAAATCAAGACCCACACATATAAACACAACGTTAGAACACGGCTAGCGCCGCCGCGAAAAACTCGACATTTACGACGCTGAAAAAAAACCTCATCTTTTTCCATCGTCGCAGGGGACGGAAACTTGGAAACTCCCACAATGCTCTCTGTTGCCAACCAGGAAGTGACGCCTCCTCTGTTCTCTACAGGATTAAACAGTGAGAGGCTCCCCCTGGTGGAACAACCAGGTACTACAGCTGGTCTGCGATACCTTTACTGACATGCACGACCTTCTACTTTTACCTTTTCAGTTAATATACTTTTCATCGGGTAAATAATTAACATCCCGTAGTCACAAAGAGTCGGTCACAGCACACCTGGTGGAACAACTAGTTATTGCAGCTGGTCTATGATGCATTTTTCTGATGCTCAGATGCAGAAATACATTTTTTTCTGAATGCATTGAGATGTTCAGTTGTCAACCATTGGATTGATTTTAATAACTTCAAGTGCGTGTTATCAGGAAAATGGGACCAAACTGGAACTGTGCATCAGCAGATACTAATTACTGAAAGTTTTGGATCAGATTGGGGGCAAAGACACTTAAGGAGTCTCCTGTTTTTTGTTCCTCACCAGTGAGAAGACGGGAAACAGGAGTCCGATGATGAAGCAGGTGACCAGCTTCCCGTCAACCGGTTGATAAAATATAGTTTGAATATCCTGTGACGTTCCTGGAGGCCTGAACTATCTCACTGATGTTGTATTTTAGCGATCGTTAAAGGCCGACGTGTTCTCACTCTGAACACTTCATCAAGACCAACATGTGGAAGACTGACTTGCTGTTCTTCCTCTAAATGTGAGATGGAAGGCCTGGGCCAGACACTGAACATGTTTCCTCCACCCGCTGGACTTCCATGAGCTTCAGGGACCGAAACATTAATCAGCTAATCAATGAACATCCTGTTGTTTAGGACTAGCTCCTGAACTCCTGCGTTACCTTGACGTAGGCCACGATCTTCAGCGATATGGTGGCCAGGTACAGCGAGTTCATGGCGAAGTCCATCAGGTTCCACCAGTCGTGGATGTACTCGGTGAAGCCTCCGTCCCACATCTCTTTAATCTCGGCCCAGATGAAGCCTGAAACACACACACACACACACACACACACACACACGTGAGCAGCGGTCCGTCAGCGGTTCTGACCGGAGTCCTGCCGGGCGTCTCCTCGGGCCTGGAGGCAGCCGACAGTTTGTTCTGCTCCACCGACTCCACATGAAGTCCGGTCTAAATTATTCACGCAGCGTTTTTCTATTTAGCGTTTCTGGGTCGGCTCAGGCTAACCCGGCGGTAACTCGACACCGGCTCCCTCGGGACGGCCGCTTGTGGATCCGTGGAACCAGAAGGACTCGCGTCTGAAGGACCGGACGGATGACGTTTAGCGACCCTCTGAACCCCGGAGGCTTCGGGAAGGACACTATCTTTACAAAAACCCTAAAACTACAGAATTTGCTACAGAGAAACGCTGAATTTCCAACTTTCTGACGGTCCCTGAACTGTCATGAGCCACACTTCTTTAAAAAACGAGAAATGCTGAAGTGTCCGTGCGACCGTGAAGGCACCAGGACGCTTCGGCTGAACTGCAGGTGGTGTTAAAGTGGTTCAGTATCGACGGTGTGACGGTTCACGGCGTTCTGGTTCCACGGAGACGCGCACAGGAGCCGAGATTTGTCACAAACATCCGACGAACCGAAGCCGAAGCCACTCGGCTGCGTTCGCCGGAGCGTCTCGCGCAGAACCAGCAGTTTGTTCTTAGCGGCTAGCGGTGGAACTCGGAGAGGACGGAGGGCAGCAGATGGTTCCGTACCGGTCCAAGCGATGGAAGTGACTGGTGTGGGCTCCCAGAGAAGACGGAGATGTAACCACACACTGACGCCCACTCATGCCTCCTCCAGGCTCCTCGTGATGAGCAGTCAGAGCGGAGAAGTTGTTCCTCCGTTACTTTAAACCTGCTGGTGGCGTCTGTCTGGAGGAGACGGACTCACGCAACGCTTCCACGTGAACTCCGGCTTCCAGCGTGAGTCAGTTATTAACGAAGAGAAACGCAAGCTGGGACGAGTTCAGTTTGACGAGAGCGTCTAAGATCTGCTCACGTTTAGAGGAACGCTCAGAGTGTCGGTTAGATGACGCTTCGCAACGAGGAGCTTCTCAGAAAACACATAAAATAGTCTGTTGAGAAGCTCAGAATAACATCTGGTAGAACTACAAACATTCATTTACATGTTCACTGCTAGAAACACTGTAAATACCATCAACAACCTGTACTAACCTAAACTATAATCTGCTCGTTTACAGTCAAATTAAATCATTTTTGGTTCGTTTAAATCAGACAAAAATATCATTTATTAATAAAAAAATCCTTATTAAAAACCACTTGACAGACTTTTGTTGAGTACGGAGCAGTGAGAGCACCAAATTATGAAAATAAATCAGTAAAATAATAATAATACAAAAGTGGAAATAAAAACAAGAATAAATAAAATAAAAATAAATAATGTGGCGATATTAATCAAAAATGAATCCATAAAAGAAAAGGCTGATAAAAGTAGAAAAACAAAGACAAATAAATAAAATAGCAAAAATAATAACAATCATTTTTTTAGTCATTTTATTTTTTAATTTATTTAAATTCATTTTACTATTTTCAAATGTATGTATTTAGTTTTAATTATTTTTTATTTGTATTTTTTGTTTATTTGTTTTAATTTTTTAAAATAATGTCACTTTAAATAAAATAACTGAAAAAAGGTGTTAATTTACATGTTGGCTGTAAACCTGTGAATCATTTCTACATCAAAAATCTGTATTTTATAAATAATAATTTGTTCTTTAACAAAGTTTGACTGTAAAATTACAGTTGTTTTTTTTCTGTATTAAAATCTGCATTAATATTATTAATTTAAAGATACTTTCCATTATTTAAAGAGAAAACTTTGCACATTAAGCCTCGAAGAATTATTTTTTTCTCTCACTAAATTTCAGATATCTGTTTAAAATGACAGAAGTGTTAATTTCTTCTGTCAGAAATGTGTTTTTACAAAAAATAATTTGTTGTTTTACAATATGAGACCACAAAATGACAATATTTGTATTTAAATCAGGTAAAAATCTCATTATTTTAGGGATAATTGCAGCTATTTTCACCGTTTTTTACAGGTTTTGAATGCCACACTACTTCATCATTAATAAAAAACAGTTCTGGGACTCTAACCGCCAGAGTTTTACATTTTTTACAACTTATATGCCGAATACGTTTGAGAAAAATGATAATTTTATTGGTTATTTAATGTTTATTTTATATTTTATTGCATATTAATGTTTTAGCAAATTTTTATTTCATTTTTATTTCAAGACAATTAATCCACTATCAGGAATTCTAATCATATATTTTTAATTGTTTTATTCATCTTTTGAATATTTTACTTTCATTTTGTTTACTGATGTTTTATTACTTTCTTCCTCTGAACCGTCTGTGAGGTTCATTTTGGATAAACTCTGATAAAAGTTCTCCCCTGATCTCCTCAGAACATCTGGTTCTGTATCGACAGTAATGATCAGAGTTCTGCCTTCAGACTGTGAATGTTTCTGACGTCAGCTCTGTGAAGTCCAGAGAGGAGGGCTCAGAAATGAGTCCAAAACTCAAACAATGACTGAATGTGCCCATGAAGGAGCCTCCCGTCCAGATGTTCCCAGCAGCTCCTACATCACCTGCTGGAGCAGCACCTCGTACTCACCGAGCACCCAGGGCAGGATCATCCACTCCACGATGGTGGGCGGCGGGCCCTGCATGTGCAGGTTGGTGCGGGCGATGTGCTGCGAGGCCAGCAGCAGCAGGAACAGGAAGGTCAGGTAGGACGCCGTGTGGCAGATGAACTTGATGAAGGGCTTCTTGATGAAGCGGCCCAGGGCGCCCTTGGGAGCCAACAGGTAGATCTGAGGAGGAGCAGACGGAGGAGGTTAGTCTGCTGCCGGTAGCAGCACAGGAGGAGTCGAGCAGCTTTAACGAGACGTGAAACGAGGACGAGCTGCTGCTGCTGCAAACATCTGTGTCGGTGCTTCGACGAGCGTCTGCTGCCGACGCTCGACCTTCATCCCTCACGCCGCCGCTGTCGCCGCTCTGAGCCCGTCTGGCTGGCAGCCTCGGCTCGGCCCGAGTGGTGCCAGAGAGGCTTTAAACGACCAGAACCTGAAACGATGTCTGGACACACAGAGAGGCCAGTTGGTGTTCTGTACTAAAACTTTACAACCAAACAGCCTCTGATGGACCGAACCATCTGAATAAACATCCCCCCGGTTCTGATTGTGCAGCACCTTTATCTACTGACCAGAGTTCTACCTTCAGACTGAGAATGTTCCAGAGGTCCAGGTCCTTGAAGTCACCTTAATGGACTTTTTCCATCATTTCTGAGCCTCAGAACTTCATCAGAACAGCAGATAGACACATGACATTTAGGAGGAAGAACACATCTGGGTTCTGCTAGAACCTGACACCAGATCAGACCCTCCTCTATGGACTTCAAGGACTTGCAACTCTGGAAATATCCATCGACAGCGTAGATAAGGAACCAGCTGATTCTGAGGCGGCCCGGTTCCGCCCGACTCTCCGCTAACCGACCTTCCCTCCGCGTACGAACCCATCGCGGTAAAATTAGCTCAATTAGAAGCGGGTGGCTTGTCTCGTCATGCAAGTCCGATCCGGTTTGGAGTCCTCCGAACGCACCGCAAAGGTCACGGAGTTAACGGAGAGGAAAGCAGGCGTGAAAAATGTTCCTCTGATCTAATTATTCACCAGAACCGAGCTTCACAGAGGATCTAACGAACAGCAGACGTTAGCGGAGCTGAAGAAAAAACTTCACAGCGCTCCGAATCCGCCAAACCGAAGGCTTCAGCGTACCGGACGGAGAACATGTGGACTGTGAAGGAATAAGAAAACCTCCGAGCTCATCAGGGGGTCGATGTGTGTTTAGCATTCAGCAGGATGAAGCTCCAGCGCTGGAACAAAGCTGGTATCAACCCACGAACCAAGAGTCTGCTCATCTGTTGGATTTAAAAGCTTGTTTTAATCATCCAGGGGTTCAATGTTGACAGTCATTAAAGCTGTCAGGTAAATGCTGATGTGCTCGAACAAGTTCAGCTTCAACTGTCAGCTCCTGCATTCTGTCTGACAGCCAGCAGGGGGCGACTCCCTGGAGCCCGACGGTATAGAAGGCTATGGTAAGTGGCCCGACTTCTATCTGGATCTATCAGCTCAGGAAACACTTCTCTACCCGGTTTATGGTCTCATTTGCTAGTTTTATGTCTCCTTCAACACAACATAATGTTTAGTTTATTAATCGTGGTTCCATTTGGAGGAAAAAGAAGATCCTCGGTCCTCCAGGTCAGGGTTTATTCGTAGATTAATCGTAGCAGCTGGACTTGAAGACGTTCCACCTCTCATCCAAGAGGCTTCATCAGCTCTGACTGACGAGTTCCAGATACTGATATCCTTGAGGATCCATCGTTAGTGCCCCCCTGCCACAGCGGGGTTCGTTAGGGTCTTTGTGGCTGGGTGTGGTTCCTTAAGGATAGAAGCATCTGGAACTCCCAACTAGTGGAGCGTCTTCAAGGAACTCAAGCAGGTCCAGCTGCTACGATTAAACCATGAGTTCTCCGTCAGATCCACCCCGAGGCTTCCCGATACGTCCATCTTCTATGTACACGTCGGCGCCTGACGCCACAGGGCCCCTCCAGAGGTCCGGTGAGTCCAGACGTCGGCGGGTCAGAACTGATCGGGCAGGTGGTCGTCACACTCGAGTGAAACGCGTCCGCCGGAGTTCGGATCAAAGCGCCTGACGAATCTCCAGCGACGGTTTCCTGATGAATCCTGTGTGACAGCTCAGACCCCCCACCCCACCCCCCCAGTACCTGGAACCTTATTTAGCACCACCTGGAAGGAAACGGACCTCCAGGTGTTTGGCGAAACTACAGCAGAACTCTCAGACAGCAGCAGTGGAGGAGGAGGCCAGGAACAACCAGAACAATACGTAACCTGTCCTCTGTGTACCACGTCCACTCGCTCCTCTATTAAAACCACAACAACAACACTACCCCCCGTTCCCCCGGTTCGTTTTCAGGTCGAGTGTTGTCGTCACACTCGTGTTTCCTGGCAACGGCTCCTCCAGCCAATAAACGAGGAGTTTGGCTTAATGGCTTCCTGGAAAACAGATTTGCTTTGAGGACGAGGCAGCGCTCTCCTTTCCTTCTCTTTCCTCCCCGTCTGTCTAAACTCAGCGTCACTCCACAACCGTTCCTTATTCCTTTTATTCTCATGTTTCCCTCGTTTCCTTTCCTCTCGCCTCTTTCTTCAGCTTTCCTTTGCTTTATGTTCGTCTTCCTAAATCTCTCTGATCTGATCTCTAAGACTGGTGTTGATCAAAACACTTAAAAACCTGATTGGTATCTGCTTCAGCACAAGTCTGATCCTTTGTTTACGTCCACAAAGAAGCAGATTTTAAACAGTCTAAGAAATAAATCGATTATTATTATTAATATTATTATTAATAATATTAATAATAATCATAATAAAAAGTACATAGCCGATGCTGGTGTGTCAGTAATCAGATTACTGCCGCTGTGATACGTGAAAGTTGTCTCAGTTGATCCCAGTTAAACTGCTGCCAACATGAGCTGTAGTCTGAGTGACGCCTCCTCTAGTCTCTACAGGATTAAACAGGGAGAGGCTCCACCTAGTGGAACAACCAGGTACTGCAGCTGGTCTACGATACGTTTACTGACATGCACAACCTTCTTTACCTTTTCAATTCATATACTTTTCATCGGTTAAATACTAAACATCCCGAGTGACGAAGTTAAGTTGCAAAGCATCGGTCACAGCACACCTGGTGGACCAACCAGGTACTGCAGCTGGTCTATGATACCTTTTTCTGATGCTTAGATGCAGAAATGCATTTTTTTCTGCATGCACTGAGATGTTTAGTTGTCACACATCGGACTGATTTTAATAACTTGAAGTGCGTGTTACCAGGAAAACGGGACCAACCTGGAACTCTGCAGATCTTCAGATACTAATTATTGAAAGTTTCAGATCGGGATTAAGGGCAAAGACACTTGAAGAGTCTCGTTTTTTGTTCCTCACCAGTGAGAAGACGGGAAACAGGAGTCCGATGATGAAGCAGGTGACCAGCTTGACGGCCCAGTGTCGCCTCCTCCAGCCCGGGAAGCCGTCGTACCACAGCGTGGCCAGAAGCTGCTGGCAGTTCGGCTGGGCCACGAACTGCAGAGAGACAGACGGACAGACGGACAGACGGACAGACAGACAGACAGACAGACAGACAGACAGACAGACAGACAGACAGACAGACAGACAGACAGACGGACGGACAGCGTTAGTGTTTGTCTGGCGTTCACGTGAAACAAGTCCTGAAGCCACAGTGTGACTTTGGGAGCCGTGGAAACAGGAGACAATGGGCTCAGCGCTTATCTCCGGCTCGGACAAAGGCGCCTTGAAAAGCAGCTCTTGCATCATTGGAGGCGTTTCGGGCGTAAAGCTGCTGATGTGAAGCCTGAGCGTGACCTTGACAACACACAGACGCTCAGTTTTCAGGGGATGCATCTCGAAAGCGTTTGAAGACTTTTGCTCTGAGACGTGAGGAAGCTGAAATGTTTCATCAAAATCATCTTTATTCTACACGTCGTGTTTAAACATTTAGAGAGACAGAAACCATTTGCTCTAATCAAGCAGCTACACATTCTGAGTTATTCGGCGAAACCAAGCAGCCAACAGTGACTCAGCAAAAATGGATGAAATGCAGGAAGTGTTTCCACTGAGCCGACATGAGACAATAAATAAATTAAAGCAGTAAAATCTGCATTGAAGCATCGTTCTCTGGCGTGACAACATCTGTGGACACGAGGGAACTGTTGTACAGGTTGGCTCCAGGTTTCAAAATGTTTTGGAAAAATAAAAGAAAGTCAACTTTTTGGGGATTTTATTTTTATTTTTTGAAATGATTTATAGCATTATAGCTAATGTCTGAGTTGTTTCTCCTTCTAGATGTGGCCCTGGTGTTTCCATACAGCATAAGAGATTAATAAAACATCAACAAACAAAATGTCAGTAAAATATTCAATAATATGCACAAACTAACAATTAATAGAATTCCTGAAAAAGGAATGAAATGCCTCAAAATGAAAATTAAATAAAATGTCACCAAAATATGAATATATCACAAAAGATGATTCACAAAATGTTCATGAAACGTCTAAAAAATGATTAAAATAATAAAATATGCAACTAACATCCATAAAGCAGCTGATTGTTCTGCTTCCACACAAGTCAAAATGAGGAAAAACCTTTTATTGTTGTAACTGAGAGGAAACCAGCGACAGGAAACGTCGGCGTCGCTGCAGCTGGTGAGAACAACGAGCAGAAAGTCCATCACTTGTCAGTTT